ACCCGTGTTTATTCCCGATCGCATCCCCCTCTCAGCAGCCCGCCAACCCCTCTTCCCAAGCTCGACACTCTTGCTCATGATGGCCCTCACTGTGGCGAGCGAGCGCGCCACGCGAGCCGCTTGGGCGTCCATCTCCCGCCTCAGCTCATCACCCTCGAGTTCTTCCACTTCAGCCTCTGAGTCGGACAACTCGGCGGCATAACCAGGTTCGCCATCTCCTTCCTCATCCTCATCTCCATATTGTTTTGACCCTCCCTCCGCAGATGATTGCACGAAAGGGTGTGCGACGATTTGAATTTCGTCGTCGTCGCTCAGTTCGTGCACGGACGAGGCAGGAGAGGATGCAGGCGGCAACTCGCCCTCAGGCTCGGGCTCGGGTTCTGGCTCAGGATCGGGATTGGGCGGCGGGACGGGTTCGGCTGGCTCGGCTGGCTCTGGTGTCTCCTCGAGCGGTAGCTGGGCATGAAGAACTGCCTTCGCAGCGCGAGCGCGAGCAGCTCCGGCGATCTTGCTTGCTCGGTCCCTCCGAGGAGGCATGGTGGACAGGGTGCTGGTCGTGATGATTCAAGTTAACTGTACACTACGTAGCTACATGCCTAGGCTACATTTGAAATGCAGACAACTCCGAAAGCCCCCAAATGCGCCGCTTGTGCCGCGGCGCAGTGCGGCACCCGGGCCAGAAAGCTGCCCTCTCGATTTTGCGCCTTACGTAAGTTTCCCACGCCTTGTTCAAAAGTGGCGGCCTTTAGTCGAAGCGCACCATAGTCGAAGCGCACCATACAATCGCGCGAAACACTCGATGAGGTTCGTCCATCACGTTCCTCTCCACCCTTTTGCATGACAACAACAGCGTTTAAGCTAGTCTGCAGCACAAGGTCTCGTAGTCAAGGCTGCGCCGGGGGTTACGTTGCCGAGATGGCGAGAAGTTGGAGAGCTGTAGCGGAGCGTGTCTCGAGCTTGAGCGGTACGCCACTCGCGTCGGCTACGGGTGGCAGTCGGTACGCTACGGCTGACAGTAAGCCACTGGATTACCGTTTTTGGATTCCGGGGATACCTAGTATATAATGTTTGTCCCGACTTTTCATTCCACCATACCTCACCGACCAGCAGAGCTCAACTTCTCTCCCCAATGTCCTCTAACGCCGAAGAGTGCCAAGACCCGGGATACGATAAGAATGGTAGATGCATGGCTTTTGGTGCTAGACAGCTATTCTTACCACGTTTTAGCCGACTACATCTTGAAGCTGAACAATTATCTCGGCCACACCAAGCAGCTCGGCAACTTTGAGTGGACCATTACGACCGAGGGGCCTACTAATGCAGCGACGCACTATGCCACTGCAAAGTGTATGTCTACCACTCCCTCCAATACTGTTGATGGTCTAAGCTGAGCACCTGGTTGTCAGTGAATGGTGTCGCCATCGGCTCTGGCCATTGGGGAAAAATCAACCTTGCGAAGAAGGTCGCAGCTTTCCAGGCGCTCAAGTACCTCAAGCAGGTGTGAGCTTTTCAGGCGGCCTCGGCTACCGCCTGCAATAGACTTGTCATCTCAGACATGGTGGACAATGGAATTTGATGCTTTACTGAGTGTAATTGCACAAAGCCCATTCCGGCACGTTCTTGAGTATCAGAGACTGTAACGTGGGACAATTAATCATATTTACACTCGTCATTGGCAGATGTTTGGACTGATCCCTGCGAGAGACATTTGGCGGGTAAGGAATCATGAAGATTGTACGATAATGAAAGGGAGAGCTGGATGGAGAGCCACGACCAGCTTTTCCCCATCCGGATAGTGCACCATGCAAGTTATTGCATGTATGCAGTATCCGTGGCATGAGCAGCGAGCCGTTAAATAGGAGAGAGAACCTAAGCATAGACTAGCAGGGGCTTAGCTGGCGAGGCGTGCCTGTCTGGACGCCGTTTGTCGGGTCACCTTGGACCTTAGCACCGTGAGACCAACAAACTCACCTGATCGCGTTGGCGCGTTGGCGCGCCAGACGGCCGAGGTCGGTCAAAGCGCGTTTTGGTCACCCCCTACATTATTCTCCGAGAAAGCTTGAGACGACTACATATCTGCATGGCAGATATGCCTGACATAGCGAGCTAGCTAAACGTTCGCAACGATCTGTTCCGCGCGGTTGCTATCCCTCGGTCTGAACCGCCACAAGTCTTTGACGGATCCTTGTCGCGCGCAACTCATCGCTGCATGGCTACATAGGTCGGCATGGCTGAAGGCGGTATTGGGAGTGCATATTCAGACGACAATAACACGGCACTGGTTCACAGAATACGCGTCCGAGCTCCGCATAGCTCGGGAGGCGCGAAAGGAGGCAGGATGATTATGGTACGTTCCGACATCTGCTGCGATGGAAGAACGGGGTGTATTGATGACGCAGAGTAGTGTAGGCATGCCCTTTTACGCTCGCGGTACTCCGTTGTCTCCAATCCTTGAGGATGAAGCAAGGGTTGAGCAGTTGCGCCAATCAGATACGTCCATCGATCATGTATTGCGATGGGACTTTGTAGAACACGGCCGGTGCATGCACTTTCTAGACAGCATGAATCCCCAGGGATCTACGGATTAACGATGGCATATTCCGTTTTTGATCCTTGTTCGCTACGTGCACCTTTGGTGCTTTGATCAAGCCTTATCCCGAAGATGTTGTGGGAATGTGGCCAAGAGCTGCTGTTCATGTTACGAGCCTCGCACCCGCCGTCGCCAGAACGGCCTGGAACAAGACCGTGACCGTGCTTGTGCAAGCTATCTGACACAGTCCTTTGTACGGCATTGTGATAGACTCGGTTCGGGGACTTGGAGGCTTTCTCTACATTCGTCATCCGCTGAGCCCTGCTTATCACTATCGGCGGTTCGAAGATGCATGTGTAGAGTTCAAGGCCACCGTATCATACACCGGCAAGCAGACACTCGTTGATGGAATTCGGCCGCCCGAAGCAAAATTGGGAATGCTTGTCAGTTCTTCGTATCCCCTGCACGCGCGGCGTCGACTCCACATGCTACGTTCTCCCACAAGTGATTCTGCAGCAGCTGAGTCTCATACCGACTGCCACGATCAGGATATTGCGGATTGCCTTAAGGGCGTCTGCTACATGAACGCTCCGAAGTGCTCGGCGAGTTTCATCAATCACATTTCTTTCCGGGTTTTCCATGACTCCAACTACGACAGCAACCTCAGACTGAGCACAAGGTTGCCCATTCAGCGTTCCGGCGGAGGCCAGTGTGCTCAGATTGTTCGATGTTGGAGAGTTGTGGTGATGCCCGTCTTGAGTTTGAGTGGGTTACTACAGCGCACTACCGGCTCCATCTGGAAGTAACGTGTCAATCTGCTACAGCTGACAGCATGCTCCTACAGTTGGATTACCACGTCTCTGTGACGATGGGGCAGGGTATATAATAGCGATCGAAGACAACTTACTCGTTCCGTCAGCCCTACCACGCCACCAAAGCACTCAAGTTCGAACCTTCAATATCACTTCCACCATATAACATGTCCGCAGAACGCCCCGATCCAGCATACGACGCTAGCGGCAAGTGGATACTTGTTTTGCCTTGGAGTCACTTGTCCTGATTTCCTCCAGCGGACTACCCTATGCAGTTGAATAACTATCTTGGCCGCACCGGGCAGCAAGAGAGCTTCAGATGGGACACCGCCCAAGAAGGGCCGACCGCTTATCCGAAGCACCGCGCATATGCTATACGTATGGGTCTCATCCTTTGCATAGTTATCACATGGCGCTAATAGTGTCGTTCGTCTAGTAAACGAAAAGATTATTGGGCAAGCCCAGGGGAACTCGAAAAGGATCGCGAAGAAGGTTGCAGCATTTTGGGCGCTCAGGTCTCTAGGACAGGTGTAAGTTTGTGAGGAGCCACTTTTTGCCGTGTACTGTTGTTGTTCAAGCGTAGCTGGGGTATTTTGCTTTGTCTGTCGGGCCCGAGTCATCAGGATGGGCAAACGCCTTTGCCATGCTTTGGAGTGATGAAAGGCTTGTTTGTAACCGCTCCGGAGCTGAGGTCCGATTGTAAACATATAAGTTATTAGTGCTAGACTTGGAACGAAATTGTAGGCAACGAAGAACGGCTCTAGTCTCTGGTTTCCTTCTATCATGCTCGAAGTCGAAGTCGCCCGTGCCATTCACGACTTACTGAGCACATTCCTGAGCGCTGATGTTGTGATCGGTTGACTCAAAGACACAAAATCCCCTGCTGAGATACAGTCTTGAAAGGCGAAGAATGTGTAGATCTCACGGAAATATCCCCCCGGTGTACTAACCTCGTGTAGTACGTGTTGTTGGTTAGTGATGAAGATGAATTCACGCCTGGGCCGTTGTCTTGAAGACCGAGACGAAAAATCCCGTGAGAGAAACAGTGTCAGGTAAGAACAACTGCGTATCACCATCACTGAGCAATGCAGGTCCATTTCGATCCTCGTCAGCGGGTGTCAATCGTGAGTGGATGAAGTTTCAGGCAGCAGAAATCACCTGACCGCGTCGGCGGGGTGGCAAGCGCGAGGCCGCAGCGGATTTGCCACTTGCCCTCAACTTGCAGCCCAAACGCACTTCCTTCACTCTAGCACCGCCTACCAAGCCAAATAGAAACGCTTTTGCGTGACTTATTTATTGCCAGTGCTACTACGGCACTGTCTTGGCGACTCTCTCCACTCTTTTGAATCGCGTCATATGGACTCGCCAGTCGGATGGAGTCGTAACTCTCCCGCGTTTCTCAACGCCGCTTGGTTTGTATACTGCGCCGCATGCCTTCATACGATGCATACGTGCATAGACAGGCAGAGCTGGTGGAAACTTGTCACCCGCTTGGCCGGAGGACGGGGTGGAACCTATCATGGGTCCGCCAGGCTCGTGGACGTACAGCCCTCTATGAAGAGGATTTGCGTACTTTACGGAAAGCAAGATCGGTGACGTACCCTCCAACGGCTACCCATGAGTTTGGATAACATGTTGTCCTGATGGGATACTCTTGCTGCTGTAGGCGCACGTTCTCCGATGGAGTCGGTGTAGCATCCGGACGTTTCCATGAAACGCTCCAGCAGGACGCGTCTGTCGTTAAGATGTCACGATTGATTATGTTCCCACCAGGAATCGGACCAAGAATCCAGGGTCTGCACGCTCAGTTTCTCTAGGTATTCGTGGGCGGGGCTCGCCGAGTCCAGCCGTTCCGTGGTCAGTCCGTGCGTGCAACGCGCTTAGACCGTGCTAATCACCCCATATCCCGGTGTTTTTGTGGGTGTGCCGCCTAGCGCTGTGGTCTAGAAGACTGGAAGCCCTACGTCGCCGTTTAAGCGCTGCTGTGTAACCCCCCGCTACAGCTGGTGGTGGCGGAACGGCGATATCTACGACGGATCTGAAGGTTGTAGGCCTCCGCCTCGCTTATTGTCCGGGACCTCTACATACCTCCGGCGTGTTGAGGAGCGCTTGTAGAGTTTGATCTTGATCATGCAGCTTCCACTGCGGCAACTCAGATGCAAACCATCATCCCGGCTACTCAAAGCTATGCTTTTACCGTCATTCTTGTTTCGTGAAGTGCGCGTTGATCCCACATTGCACGTACCCAATATATGGTTATCTCGTTTCGGTGTTTCAAACCGCCGTGGCGGGGCTTCACTTGATCCTCGAGAGGCACTGTATAGTGCGAGACGTTCTGCGCTTGCGTTCTTTTCGTATTTAAACCCGCAACAGAGTCTACTTCGCATGAACATAAGGTCTACACTCCAGATAGCACTGCAATCGTCATGTTTCCGAGACGACATGCTGTTGGATTGCTATTGTGCTACATATTTGACGCCGATCCGCACCCGCCGCAACTGGAAGCAGCGGATGCGTGCGCACTACGGCTGACTGCACGTCTTATCCAGCTGGAGTATTGCGTACCGTGAACGTAGGAAGGAAGTATATATACCGCTTCTTGGCAGACAGTCTTTGTACCAGCCGAACCAATCTACTCAGCTTCACACTTCCTGAACACTTCAATAGTGCCGCACTTTTCCTGCCATGTCCTACGCCCAGATGACCCCTACCCAAAACCGTGCGTAGAGTCAACTTTCCGAATCACCACTCGACTTCCTGACTATGGATCAAGCCGACTACGTTGTGCTCCTGCACAACTATCTCGGCCGTACCAGGCAGTCTGACAACTTCGCGTGGCAATATGCTCAGAACGGCCCAGCTCATGGCGTAATGCATTACGCTACTGCTCTCTGTACTCTTCCATGTTCATCCGATGCGGAAGTGCTGTGGACTGATTTTGTTTTGCAGTCAACGGCCGAATCATCGGCCAAGGCCAAGGTGTTGCGCGAGGTGTTGCGAAAGCTGCCGCCGCCTACCAAGCTTTAAAGGCACTTCAGGCACTTTAGACCTTCTTGAACAAGCCAGCTATAGATGCTGTGACCGTATCGTTTGGCTAGCATATGTCTATGTGTGCAACCCCTACTGTCTCATCACCACAATGTTGTTCACCGTCCTTGGATGATGCAGATGTCGAGCAATTTTGTTCTTTGTTCACGTAGATTGTTCCGCTGAACGGATGTGCGATTCATAAAGAACTGTTCTATGCCGATCTCGATACAGATGTCCTTCACGTAGCATAGACGGGAAGAAGCCCAACCGAGTGATCACGGGGCAAAGTACTAGTAAGCATAGACCAAGAATCGCAAAAGACAAAGGGATGCGCATAGGCGCAAAAGAGTAGTTTGTATTATCGTATACCGAGTGATAGTATAGCGCGCAATTGTGTGGGTAGAAGAGAAAGGAATGCACGCACGCGTGTGATACTGTACATGGGCTACAGCGCGAGGTAAATAAGAAAGGCGACCCTTGGAGAACGAGACGAACACAGAGCCTGACTAGACCTGAACGCCATATCGGCTGGGCGGACTGCCAGCGTCCGACTCGTACATCTCTGCCTTCTTGAGCTGTAAGATCCAAGATAAGCGACCGATGCACACCATGAACAGATAGGGCAGAAAACGTACTGTACCGTCGCTATGTTGGTCCGTGGTAATCATGATGCCATCGGGCAAGCCACCGTTGTTACGAGAGTGCGTTGTGGGCTGAAGGCTGTAGCTCTCACGAACTGGGACAAGGAACGTCCCGGCAGATGGTCCGCGATTGCTCGGCGCATGGTCCGCCTTCCAGCACTCACGAAGAGTGATGGTCAGCGGTACGAATGCGGCGATCTGGCCGAGGATCGCTACAAGCACGTTGAATGCACCCGGATAGTCGAACCAGAGCGCAAGAACGAGTACTGTCGTGATCGTATACAAAGCACCTGGATCATCAGTCAGCTTTGTGAAGGAGTACGTCTTCGCTGGACCGACATACCCGAGTCAACAAGCGTCCAGATGATTGTCCACGGATTGAAGCCCTGGCGTCCATTGGCCACCACAGTCGTGGGCGTTGACCACGCTCGCCAGCCGATGAGGAGCGAGCCACACACTTGCACAATTACGGAGGATACCCATGCGACTACCGCCCAGGTACGTACGGAACCAACAAGGATAGTGTGCTGCCGACTCAAGAGGTTTGTGGCGACACAGCCTATCACTGAATCCAGAAGCATCGGTTAGAATGTTGTAGTAGGGCACGTAGTGCGAGACGAACCGAGTGGAACAAGCGACAAGACAACCTAAACCGAGCGATTTAATCAGAGCAAGTAGCATAGAGCGTTCTTGAGATGCACGTACCAGCACGGCCACGATGACCTTGCTTCTCCAGAAGGAATAAACACGCCACGTCTAGAAACAGGGATTGGTCCACGGTAATAGCCGCATGCGGAAGAGAACGTACTAGGAAATAATCCCCGATCTGGCACTAGAAACAAATGAGTGCCACTCTCAGGGAGCACGATAGTGCAGACTTCAAACGTACGTTGATGATATACAACGTCAGTTCTGTGATTGATTGGGGGCGTCCTTGGTCGGCTATGTGGACCAGCGCCGGTGTCGAGCTAGTGAAATCGGCGATGATATCGGCGAGGTACACAGCAGCATGCGCGGTGCAAGTGCAAAATAGGAAGGCGAAGACAAATAAGAGAATCCTGCGCTTGTGGTCAGGACAGAATGTCACAAGTAGAAGCAGAGCAACACACCGATTGGCAGTGTGATGCCCGCGCGACGCGAGCTTGTACATAGCTATAACAATGAGAACAACACTGAAGGAGAGCATCAGTAAATCAATGACGCATGGGGCGGGAGAAGCAGTGGCACACGTACTTCACACCTATTGCATGATGGGAAGAAGCCAAGTAAATTGAGAACGTGTCGGTCCGCAGGAGACGCCATCACGCACCGTACAACGGCCCTACAAGCCAGGACCCCAAGAGAACACCGAGCGTCGGCGAGAGATCTGCTGCCATTGCGCTCGTAGCCCGAGCAGGGCGAACAGCAGGGGAAACGATGCGAAAGGAAGGGGCGCTCCATTCACGGCCGGTAGCGCCTTTTCAAGGGCGCCGTTGCCCTCCGCGAGGCTGATCTCCCACGGGAGTCTATCATCACCACAAAATGGTGGCGGGCCTGATAGAAGAGGCTCTAGCGTTCTGTCATCCGCTCTCAAGTGATCCACGGCTGAGATTGGTGAGGTGGCATATAGCCACCGAATAAAAGCGCTTTGGGCCCTGTCGAAGACGCACGCGCACCCGATTACGGTCCGTGTTATACGTGAACGCGTACGAGAGACTAGCGCAATAACCGTTACCGGATCATCGCGACATCGCCCGCCAGCCTTCCCCGGTCGGAAGCGGGGCAAAGTTCAAGGTACGTGGCAACGCGCAGGAACCGAAAGGCTGGAATTGATGCCCCGAGAAGCACACTCTGTGAAAGCCTCAGTGACAGCTACCATGCTGGTAGTTAACGCGAGTCTTGATATAATATATAGGTCGTAGTCAAAGCATGATAGAGGATGTTATCGATATTTCGTAGTAGGTGTGTGAGATGTGGCCATCGGGGCATGAATTGATCCGAGCTGGAGACCACGCCGGCCTCCTCAGTTCCGCTGTCAAGGCGTAGTGAGATCGAAAGCGCCGGCGCAAGACGCTGCCGAGAAGGACCGATCGACCACCGGGTCGGTTAGGCGGGTCACAGTATGTCAGCTCGTAGGCCCGCATCTAGATACGCGTAGCATACGCAGGATAGAAAGGGCAACGCAAGTATGCAGGTTACAACCAGCGCACGAAGAGAAGATCAATAGGGTTTGAATTTGCGCGAAGCCCTTAACTTCTCTACCGCCGCTTTGTCTTGCTCCCATTTCTCCTTGAGGTCCATGAGCGCTAGTGATGGGCGTCAGAATATGGGCTACACTGAGGGGGCTTCTCGTACCTTTGCGCTTTTTCTCGTGAACCTGGAAAGCATAGAAAGCGTCTTTCTCCTTCTCGTCCTTATGCTTCCGTTTCCGACCTTCACCATGGGCTGCCTTCCGTCCCCGCGCAAGCGTAAACTTTTTGCTTGCAACCCCCACACCACCACCGACAGCTTTTCCGTATGCACCGCCGCGCGTAACGAGCGTGAACCCATCTTCGTCGACAATCGCTTCGCCCTTGCGGTACTTCGACTCGCGTTGGAAGGCGCGTTTTTTCTCAGCCTGTTGGTAATCGAAGAGCTCAACAGATGTATTCGCGTGAGCAAGTACAACGTCGAGTGGCGGTCGAAGGGCGTCATATAGTGTCGTGTAATGGGCAATTCCGGACGGCGCAAGGTCATCTGTCGGCCATGGACGGCTTTGCGTAGTCGCTTTCTTGCAAGACGATGTCGAGGGTGACAGAGCAAGAGCACGTTCGCAAGAAGAGGCGTCCAGAAAGATGACGTGTGCAGTATGTCCTGTTCGGCGCAGCCTGCGAGTGCCCAAAGCGGGTAAAGGTACGACTTTGGGCGGCCGGGGCGTATCGTCTCCTTGCGCCACCTTTCGCCTTTTGCGGGGCTGCTCCTCGTCCGAATCCTCGTCCTCGTCCATCCCCTCCTCTTCGTCGCTCAACCCCTCTTCGTCGGCAAGTCCCCGATTCTCGTCAGAGTCGAAGACCACGCGCTCGACAGTTCCGCAAGATTTGAAGAGCAGTACAAGTTCTCGCTCTGTAGCATCCGGCGGTAGATTGACCATAAACATTGTCCTGTCCTCTGGCCAAGAAATAGCACTCTTCCCCTTGGCAGCGCCCGCCTGCGCGCGCAGATAGATGATGTGCTCCGAGGATGCATACGCGACGGGAAGCGTTGAGAAGCCGCCAAAGGCTTGCGAAGCCTTACTTCCGGACATGACAGTAATTTGTGTGAATGTCAATGAACGCGCAGAGTTTGACCAGCTTAAGCGTGGTGGACTGGCGTAGGGTGGATGCGGTACAACTGTGAACAGGGCAAGAGACAAAGCGAACCCCTGGTCTAGATTTTCCTCGCAGACGCGATCAGGTGAGTTGATCTCACGACGGCGCTCAGATCAAAGACTAGATCTAGATCTTATCTCAATCATGATGTCCATCCGGCTCTTTAACATAGGTAATTGCTGACGCGGGTATAGTACTATGCTACATGAAAGGCGACACTATTAAGGCACCCGATGAAGTTGATGAAGTGATTAAACTGGGAACTGTGCTCAGATACTAGGATAGGACCCTATTCGTGTGCTTTTGAGGGGTCCCTCGTCGCTGGCGGCCTGCACAAGCGCCTGCGGATCAGCTGAGAGTCGTTATCAGTAAGTGGGCGCTTTGCGACTCACGATAGAATGCACGTCGCTTCTCATATGCGTCGACTTCATAATGCGAACTCCACTCCCGCCGTTGTCCGTTGTTAGGGAATCGGTGGGGAGCTGGAGCGCGTTTCGGCTCTCCAGCTCGTGGCTCTCCGTGAGAAGCGTGTTGTGAGGAAGGAGTGGGCCTTGCCACGCTTTGGCTTTGTTCATGGTGACTTTCCACCATTCGCGTAAGATGATGGTGAGAGGAACAGTAGCCTGCGAGCGTCAATTCCTAGCTAAGCGTGCACACGAAGAAGAAACGAACCGATATTTGGCCGAGTATCGCAACGACTACAGCGCCGGCCGGGTCACTGCACAAATAGAATGCGAGCACAAGAACGATGCACGAGGTGTACGCTGCTCCGGAATCGACCGCAAGGCATAGTGCTTTCACCATACTGCAACCGCGTCGTTTTCTTGAGGGCGAGACGTAAATAGGGGTTGAGACTTCGCGCCAGACGATGAGTAGGGTCCCAGCTGTTTGTGTCACGACAGTCACCGCCCATACGGTTACAATATGCATCTGCACTTTCCCGGTGAAGTATGCGTTGATATGGTAGCCGACCGTGCTTGTCGCCTGAATAGTCAATACGCCGAATACTACTTGAGGCGTGAGCGTGTTTCGCAGATACAATCCTAGTGACGTACCCAGCGTGACTGTATTTAGAAGCACCTATTGGCGTCTCTTCGTCAATTGTCGAATTAAGGGGTGGATGCAAACTGCACTCACAAATGGGGCTGCCAGATACCAGTTGCGATCCCAGAAGACAAACACTCGCCAGGTCTGCGCAGACGATATCAGAGTGGCTCGCAACCTGATATCGCATAGTCGTATTACCATGAAACAGTCTGCTATCAAGCTCTACATCCCTGTCAGTCCTCTCTCGATACGACGTGTACCAAATCGGACTCACATTGATGATGTAGAAAACAACCTCAGCAACGTGTTCAGGCGTGGAAAGATCAGTGAAGTATAGAGCTGTGCCATTCAAAGCCTTGCTGGAATCAGGGATAGCTCCCGGTGACGTCGGAGGTGGGGGTATATGTATGAAGCCTCGGATGAGTTGAACAAGTAGCGAGATTATATGTCCAGTGCATATGACGAACTGAACCCCTATCACGGAGGCCAAAATCCTGACGTAGCGCCTCTCAGCCGAGTTCGAAATAGGCAGGATGCCCGTATGAAACGCACCAGTTCCTCCCTCTGAGACCTCCCTTCTTGGACAATACAACGAGGCAAAGAGCAGCGAGGAGAACACTACACGCCGTGAGCATATGGCTAACCGCTGGGAAGAACATGCAGTACTTGACCCCTATATAACAAGGCATGTAAGCGAAGTTTGTAGTAGTGAGCTTGAACAAGGCACTCGCCGTAGATTGGCCCCGAGCACCATGTTGCTAGAATGTTAGAAGTTGCAAGACTGATCACCGTCATCACGACTCGACCCGAGAAGACAGTGGGGCAAGAGGGCAGAGGGGGAGGGCGCTCGACGATAGGGCGACTAGAAGTGATTATAGCCTCCACGCCGCGTAGGATCGGATCCAGCGGGCATCATGATACCACTGGTTCCTTCGCACCTCGCACTGTTGTTCCCTGAGCGCCTAAGGTCCTGTCATGCTGTATAGGGATGTTCAGGAAACCTTCTATGGAGGCCTGTGCTAAACTCGCGGGAAGGTGAAGTTTCGAGCATACAGATCCATCAGCCCGGGTGACCCAGCGCTGCATACTTATCGGCAACTCATCACCTATGAAGGAAGGTGGTTAATGCTTGAATCCTCAGATGGTAAAGAAGAGGCTAAGATGAACTCACTGCCTCAAACGATGCGCACGGTGGATAGCCATGCGATGATGACGGCCATGCAGCGATACTGAATGCGGTGCCTCAGCTGCCGTCCGGCATCGTAGCCTTGTGGAAGGCCGCTTGCTATCGCAGTTGACCTGCAATCATGCCCTCAAACCTCTGCGGGTGCAAAGTCAAGGAAGCAACCGAGTACGTGCGGCACGTTCACACAGAACCCAGCGGTCAGACATGGAAAATCGGACCATGGTGCTACAGTGACTGTACTCTTGGATCCTAGATGACGCGCCCGGCACGCCGAGGAAGAGCGGGAGAAGATCAATGTTTGCGAAACTTCAGCGCTAATCTGATACATGCGAACGCGGGTCAGAATAATTTAAAGCCTGCGAACGCTGACATAGGCGACACAGCAGCGCTACAATGTCGCTCAGGAGCTTAGCTGGGATCAGCTCCTGCCAAGTCAGACGCAAGGAAAGAGGGATCTAAAGCCGGGGATGATCCGTGCATGCAGTAGAGCGTCGTGAGACGTGACTGAGTTTGCAGTTCATGACTATCTGGGAGGCCACCGTGAGTTCACGCGGCTTCTTTCAAACATAACGTGATGATGTACCGACTGTGAACAAGGGTATGGTATACACGTATTCAAGCCGTCTTATCTTGCTTCTGCGATGACTGGCCGAAGTAATACCTTTGTCTCCCGATGCCGAAAAACCATGCTATCCTACACGCCACGAGAAATCGTGAGTTCGAGTTGACCTTAAGCAGAACAAGCGACGAACCTGCAGCTCAACAACACAACCACAACAGTTATGTTGCCGTGTGTCATAGAGTTCCACGACAGCAGGTCATACCGCAGTGCTGGAGGCAGTCCAACAAAAGTCGCGCCGATGCTAGCAGGAGGTCATCAGACAGATGTGTTCATGCCTCGGGCTGCACGGGTAAAACATACTGTGTGACCTGTACCACATCAGTGAGATGTCCTGGGTAAGATCATAGAAGCGGGCTTACATCTGCTATCGCCATTGCAAGAAAGCTTGCGCCGAGGATGCGCTCTTGCGCAGCGGGATTGTTCGGCAATGCATCACGCACAGCGCGGAATACGAACGACGAGAGTAGACCCAGCAGCATATAACCTCCCACGCAGTTTAGACACCAACGGACACGTCTACGATGAGTGGAACCTACAGTTTCCCAGCTGCCATATAGCCATAGTTGTGCGTGGATCAAGCGTCGAGGGTACTGACGAGACCGAGGGTATGAGCTCGTGATGGAACCACGCCGCCCCGGGAACCGCCCAGGCCATAAAAGTCGGCATAATGGTCGACGCTTCAGATGCGATTCATTGGCGTCGTCTTCGATTTATACTCGTTGACAAGCCTTACCCGGCTCCAGATAGAGGAAAAGGAGTCGATAGAAACCTGGTAGTGCAAGGAAGGGCATGATGGATGTCGTTGGCAAAAGTCAGGTCGCCGTGTCTGCCGTTCTCAAGCGGCGCGAGTGCCTTCGCGCCGATGGTTCGACGTCCGCTTTCGGAAGTTGAGACTCACGGTCCGCGACAACGACGGCGCGAGGCCACTTGCTTCCACCCTCGATCTAGCTCCCTCTTGGATCTCTGAGTTTGCGTTGTTGCCAGCCCACTTCATTCACCCAACCCACAGTCGCCCGCCGACTTGGGACTGCCTCTACCCGAATATCAAGTGTTCGCGGATGTGAGCAATGGGAAGAACCCTCGAATCACGATGCCTGATGGTACACGTACGACGCTCAAGCGCCCACGGGCTGACCGGAAGCCAGGATTTGCGACTGGAATAGATCCATCTACCTTCGCTCCTACTATCTCCCGGCGTGCGACGCCGCCGCTCCTTCGCCTCGACACAACTCCTCTGGCGGGAGCCCTCTGGGCCCACTGCGATGATGCAAAGCGTTCATGCTCTGAGCCCGACTGTTCCGCCTGCAGGCATGCACTTCGATACTCATATTTCCCACCACACTGCTATACATTCATGACCCCAATCGATTGCGACAGGCATCGGTCAGAAAGTGGGGAGTGGTCGATAGGAGTTTATCCTGCTTTCACCCTCAGCCGTTGGCGAAATTGTGCACGCAACTGCGTCTTCCGCTACCGTCCGGCTGCACAACCGTTCATCGTGACCGCGCTTGGTACTCCTTCTAGCGCTCATACAGCTTTGCACCCACAGGATCACTTCTCCCGAACGCGCGAGAAGATGGAAGCGTATCCCGTGCATGCCTTCGTACAGCCATACGCCACTCGTACACCGTCTACGAATGACCGACTCTATCGTTTGCATGGGATCCGCTGCCCCCCCGAGATGTTGTATGGACTACATCTCTCTGACCCGCACATCTGATGCACGCCGGCGTGGCAGATACCTACCCGATCTTCAAGCTTCGCGGGTCTTACTAAAACGTCTCGTCCCTTCTTCTACCTGCCCTGACGTCTATTGCCCTTTGCCTCCGCAGTCTCCGCTCTAAGTACTGTCTGCGTGTCAAGATGTCTGTGTACTTGACTTTGGGCGCCCTGCTCGCAGGATGTCTGGTCGCTGTCGGGCGAGTCTTCTTCCCGCGCTACGTCTGCCGCCGCCATCAGGCGCTGACTGAACCGATGGCCGCATACCCACAGGCTATCAGCCATCGTCGGCTTTCAGACGGCGATGTACTATCTAGTGTTCCCTCAGGACACGACGGCATACAAAATATTGGTCGGCTGGATTTGGTGCGTACCCAATGCAAGGTTCTATGACGGCTTTGGATTGACGCTGAATGATGCAGGGCGCTCGACACTGTACACACCGTCATCATCTGCGCTGCGGTATGGCTCTACACTATTAGCAACTACAATAACCCCGCCAGTCTCGCGCACATATCCTACACTATTCCGGTATGCCCCTTCTACTTCGGCGCGTCACCCGAGTTGCTCACTATCGAAGGTTAATATCATCTTGACCACTATCATCACATTGAGCGTGAATGCGTAAGTTGTCGGAAGAGTACCGGGATGAACTCTTCTGATCGGCGGACAGGTTCTATGGGTGGCGAATCCATAAGCTGAGCAAGGGGAACTGGTGGATAACGTGTCCCATCATTGTCCTCTCGCTCGCTCGACTCGGTGAGCGTCTGTCTGGATAGTCTGGTAGTGTTGTCCTGACTTGCTTCACTCCAGGCACGGGTTTCGGTAAGATCATTGGCCTCAGAAGTCGAGGAACCATGAGCTGATAAGATCGTATCGCTCTTAGTGTCCTCTATCAAGCTGCAAGTGCTGCAGCAGCCCAATTGTCTACGTCCCGCGCACTCATACTTAAGTACAGGATCCAGGCCGGAAGCTTCGCCGGAATAGCCGGTCGATATATTACACTGTTTACGGCAGGCGCGATCATCTCTGCCATCACCGACATCTATATTGCTATCGCACGATACTGGTACCTGCGAAAGCTCAAGGAAGGTCTCACTGGGTGCGTTCATCGTCTTTCACATTCATAGCTCTCACGTTGCTCACACCGGCGCGTAGCACGCGCGAGATGGTCGACGCCACCATCGTCTTCACGATCAATGATGGCGCGCTCACTTGCCTTGTCGTCATCGCTTTCATTGCCTGTGTACGCTTTTCCTCCAGCTTCACAGTCGACTCTTGCTCATGTGGCATGCTTCGATCAGTGGATTTCGATGCCGCTCAACTACGTGTTCTTGGGCAGTGAGTGTCGCCGGACGTAGAACCCGTTAAGAACATTGCTGACGACTACTTAGTTTACTTCTCCCTGACGAAGCGTGAGCACACCCTCCTATGCTCCTCATCGTGATATGCTTACCTGCTCGCACAGTTTACAGCAACTCCCTTCTTGCAACTTTGAACCTCCGTAATTGGTACCGGCACAGGTATGACATCCCCCGCCGACAGCCGCTCGGCATCGTCATGACGCGCGGCGGTGGGACCTCCGGCTACCCTCTTGGCAAAGTCCGCACACCGCGCTCCCAAGGATCTACCGGACACTCGGATAGGGACTTGGACATGCATGCTTGCCCCGATGAATCGAACTCAGTGAGCACTGACCCCCCTTGATGAGTGTGTTGGCGACCGGATAGCTGATATACTGCTGGCTTCATAGACGCCCGGAAGGCTGGAGATCATGATAGACACAAAACGACAAGTAACGTATGACCATAGCGAGGTGCAACTGTTCGATCATCCAGGCGAGCCAGAGCAGAAAACGCATGTCCATTCTTTCCCTCCAGCAGCTGTTAGTGCCTGATGAGCAATGATTTATGACCGAACTAACATCAGAAGCCATACCGTATCTATCGACCCTTACGATGCGCCGTATTAGATGTAGCATTACAAGTATACTGTACTTATACTACATAGCCTTGGCCTTCAAATCTTTCTCCGACGAATCGTTGGCTGCAGTACAGACATGGGAGCGCCCTTCATCCCCTCGTAGACGTGGTTTTCATCGCGAACCGGAAAGAGGCGGAAAGGTAGGGATACTCGAGAGGTCCTTGCCAATGGTCCGCTGCTCTTCGATGTCCTTGGTGAGGAGTTGCCGTCCTTCGGAGACTCGGCCCGATGGCCGTGGGCTCCAATTTGAATCACCATTCTGAAACGTGCCGCGTGGGGCTAAAGTCGCGGGCATTGTTCTTGACGCTCACCCTCGTCTGGTCCCCGGATCGTGATGAGGACGACGGAGTCCATGGACCTGGCAGAATGCAAAATGACATGTTCCCGCCATCTACGCTCTTTGGCTCCACATCTGGACATCGTTCGAAAACCCCGTTCAGCGCTCATTCAGTGCCGCGCACACGAATCATTGCTCTCGGCTGCGCGGAGAGAGAGCCGCGTACCGCAGTGCATGCATTGGTCCAACCATTTGCTCTATATGAACGTCCGGCGCCATCTACTGAATGGAATTTACCCCACCGATGCTCAGACGCGTTGTACAGACCGCATCTTTCTGACCCGCACAGTTGATGTACTCTGGCAGATGTATGGCTGATACATAGCTAATCTCTGCGGTACGTGGCCTTAAGACGAGCGGTTTGGTCCCCCCCGCTCTCTGCCTCTCCTTCACGTATCACTTCTCAGTTCTACTTGACTTCCCTGGCTGTACCTCTCCGGTGGGATGTCAACCGTGTACTTGACGTTGGGCGCTCTGGCGGCGGGATGCTGGGTTGCTGTTGGGTAAGCCGCAGCGCGTCCGCCGTCAGCACATACTGACTGTACGTTCGTGCGCACATTCATAGGTTATCAGCCATCGTCGGCTTCCAGACGGCGATGTACTATCTGGTGTTCCCTCAGGATACGACGGTGTACAAGGTGTTGGTGGGATGGGTCTGGTGAGCGTTAGTGGGTCTTCTTACGGGATCCCCAGATTGACGCCGAATGACACAGGCTGCTTGACGCGGCACATACTATCATCATCTGTACCACGGTGTGGCTCTATACGATCAGCAACTACGACCAACCTGAGGCGATTGCGCACATCTTCCATACCGTACCGGTGGGCATCCTCTTTAAAGGGGGCGCGCATACCATCACTCACGCTTAAGGACGCAGATCAATATAATCTTGACCACTCTCATAACACTCAGCGTGAACGCGTGAGTTGTCATGTAGAGACTATGGTCCACCATCCTGACCGGCGCATAGGTTCTACGGATGGCGGATTCATAGGTTGAGCAAGAGCAACTGGTGGATTACGGGTCCCATCATTGTTCTTTCCCTCGCACGACTTGGTAAGTACTGATCCAGCATTAGGTGCTAATCCCAGTTTGATGTTCGCCGATTTCTAGCCACGGGTCTCGGTAAGACTGTAAAGCCTGCGTGCTGTATGAACCATCGAGGCTGACCGAATATCCCCTAAATAGTGACTTCTATCAAGATGTAGGTCATTCAGTTGACATCCTCATGCTACGCCCAGGCTGATGCTCTTGCCATAGGCTTGAAGCAGGCAGCTTCGCCGAGATAGCTGGGAGATACATCACGCTGTTCACGGCGGGTCTCATCATTTCGGCTGTAACGGACGTCTACATCTCTATAGCGCGCTACTGGTATCTGCGGAAGCTCAAAGAGGGCCTCACCGTGTGAGTACACTTGATCACAGGCGCTCCGTCAACGGGAGCTCACTCTGTTCTACAGCACGCGCGAGATGGTCGACACCACGATCGTGTTCACGGTCAACGATGGCGCTCTGACCTGCATTGTTGTCATCACGTTCATTGCCTGCGTACGCGTCTATCTTGACTCACCAGCTGCCAGTCGCTCATGCGATGTGGACCCCTTGACAGTGGGTTGGAATGCCACATAACTACGTGTTCCTAGGAAGTGAGTACTAGGAGCGCGTCGCGGCGTGCAACTAGCATTGACATCCTCTTCTCAGTCTACTTCACTATAGCGAAGCGTGAGCCCGCCTTCCGGTACTCTCATCTACAACATTCTCACCTAGCGGCGTAGTGTACAGCAACTCCATCCTCGCGACCTTGAACCTCCGCAACTGGTACCGGCACAGGTACAACATCCCGCGCCGCCAACGGCTCGGCGTAGTCATGACCCGCGGCGGAGGGACCTCTGGCTACCCACTCGGACACGTCCGTACGCCGCACTCACAAAGCTCTGCAGCGCACTCGGACAAGGACTCAGAAGTGCTCCATGTGAGCGAGGAGTCGACTGCGGTGAGTATTGAGATCGAGCGTTCGATTGTCTGAGGGTTGGAGGGCTGATTTGGGTTTGCAGACGCCGGGGAGGATAGAGGTGATCATAGACACCAAGCGCCAAATCACGTATAATGATCATAGCGAGGTGCGGCTGTTTGACCGTCGGGTTGAGGAAGAGGAGAAAGCGCACGTTCGTTCTTTCCCTCCGGCAACTGCGACTGCTTGAGATCGCCCGCGGCTCGAGGCGTCTGTCGGCCGGTCCGATGGTGTATTTGTTCAGAGTCATTTCCCTCACGAGTTGTTACTATACATGTATCTTGTATCAATATATGTATTCAATCTCCTAGTCGTTGTCGAGATGGTGGTTGCCTTCCAAGCTAGGAAGGAATAGTCGCTGCAGTGGTTGTTCGGAGTCCCGGCCCGGCCTGCGTGAGCCACACCTCCCATTTTCGATCCGGCCAACCTTGCGCGGCGCGCGGCAGTCGCGACTTTACTCTTCCCTTCACCTTCCTCCTGCACTCTCCAGCACCCATGGCGACGGGCGAAATCATAGATCTCACGAAAGACTCGAGCGACGTCGAAGAGATCAAGTCGACCGACTTCTCCCGTGGTAAATCGGAGAGCAAAGCTGGCCCGAGCCGGCGGGAGAGGAAACGGAAGCGGGCGGCGCAGTATATGGAAGAGCACGACCAACCCATAGCTATCGAAGTGAAGGCAGATGGCGATGAGGGGGAAGGTTCGACTGCTCGGAAGTCCAGGAGAAAGAAGAATAAATCCGCGCGTTCGTCTCCTGCGCCTGCAGCGCCCGACTCTGCAATCCCGAATATGGACGACCTATTCTTCGTCGACACTGCACCGGCGGCCATACCCTCAGACCTGGCATTTATTGACTCCAAACCTTCTGCGCCGTCTACCACCTCGAACTCGACCGAAGAAAGCGCTTTGGTGAAGACGCCGGAATCACCTGCGCTCCTGTTGCCGGCGCATGTGTCTGTACTGGCAGAGAATGCGGACGGGAAGCCTATTGAAATTATACGGCCGCCTTCTCCCGGTTCGGAGGGAGAGGATGTGGAGGACTTCATTCAGTATCTGGACTATGATGATCGGCCGGTACGCGATTCATTATATTGGGAAGACATGGACGTGGCTAACAGGGCTTCACGTAGACGGATTTGGCGAGGTATTTTGAGAAGCCGGAGGATGAGAAGAGGAGGATTGTATGTAAGAGGTGTGGTGCGGAGGGAGAGCATTCAACAGGCGAATGTACACTTAAGATCGTAAGTGATGTACCGCCAGATGTTCTTTGTGCCATACTGACTATGTTGTAGTGTATGACTTGCGGTGTTCGTGGAGAACATACGACGTTCGGATGCCCAATCAGCAAGACTTGCCATACATGTGGTATGAAGGGCCATCTGCGACAAGTACGTCCACGCGTCCCTCTCTTCCCTTCTGGCCCTGAACACCGTCTCAGAACTGCCCGAACCGTTCAAAGAGCCGCCAGATGATGGACAACTCCTACAACGACTGTGATCGGTGCGGCTCCTCCAAGCACCAAACAGTCGAATGCCCGACGCACTGGCGTATGTACGAGTACGTCTCGGAAGCTGAGCGCACACAACTGCTTGAAGCTCGGGGACGGATCAGCGAGTTGAAGCTGGGTGAAGGCGGGGAGGCATATATTGCGAGGGACGAGTGGTGCTACAACTGTGGTTGTGCAGGGCATCTGGGTGACGTGAGTATTCCATTCATGCTAGTGATTGGCAGCAGGCTAACGAAGGCGGATATGGAAATAGGACTGCGAAGAAACATTCATGGAAGGCTGCCCAACGATCCCCTCCGCATTCGGCTCCTACAACACCATGTCCGGACCCTTCTATGACGCAACACAACCACCCCTCTCACCGTCCACCCTGAATCGCCCACCACGCGAATGGGAAGACGGAGGCGACCTGATGGACGGATGGGGATTCAGCGCGCCTGCGCAGGTCGGGCAGAAAGCGAAGAAGGACAAGAAGAGGAAGATGGAGAAGGCGTGGCAGGATAAGCAGGAGAAGGACGACGAAGACGACTGGTTCAGCAATCCGAGGAACGCGAGGGGGAGAGGGATGAACGGCAACAGCGGTGGAGGTGGCGCATCGGGGTCGGGATCTGGATCGGGCGCTGGTGGGGCGGGGAAGAAGAAGCCGATGTTCTTGCCCATGAAGACGTCGTTGATCGACCGCATCGAAGGCGGGCACTCCGCGGCAGGCAGCTCGCGGCAGAGCTCGGACTCCCGTAACCGTGACCGCGACAGGGATTGGGACCGCGGTCGTGATAGAGGTGGAAAAGGTGGTCGGAGTCGCGATAATTCTGGTGGCGGAGGATACCAGAAGAGCCCGTCCTCTTACAAGGGCTCATCGCGCGACCGAGACCGCGAACGCGAATGGGATAGGGGAAAGCGCGGAGGAGGGGGAGGTGGTAGTCGCGACCATGATCGCCGGGACCGGGACCGGAGAGATGATCGGCAGTACTCTTCTGGTCCGCGGTACAAGGGCGGTTACGCGCATTGAGACGTCAACTTTGCTATGTCTTGCAATTGCTATCCTACTGCACAATGCTTTCCTGTATACGTTGTCATATATTCATGTCCGTTCCGAGCACCCTCATGTTCGCGGAAATGAAGCGAACATGCGCGTGATCGCTAAACAGAGATTGTCTCGGTCCATATACCGCTGCAGTCCGGCCGTACCACACGCCTTTCATCCTCCCACCACCTCCAGGCCACCCTTACATCCCTATCCCACACTCTCTGAGGAATGCCTGATTCCTCGTCACTTGCGGGGCCATCGACGCCTCCGCCCGATTCGCCCTCCCGAAATAGCCTGTACGTCGCGACGGCCAACGTCGAGGACCTCGCACGGTCTTTGCATGGCTTCTCGCGCGCCTCGACGCCCGAGCCTGTGGAGGGCATAGATCCGGAGTATACGAGGGCCTGGGTGGCTGTGAAGTCGAAATTGGAGAGCAGGCTGGTGTTGAGTGCAGGTGCGCGGTGTTCCGCGTTCGTTCACTGCAGCGTGGAAGGAACCTGATGGCACACTCGGACAGAGGTCGGGCAGGCACTATTACAACGACACGAGGCATTCGTGCGTAAAGTGCAGGTATACTCAATTAGATACTGTCATACTGCCAATACTGAACATGGGCACAGCGCGAACGCGAAAGCAAGCATGAACCGAGCGTGGACGAAGTGTCGATCGACGAGCTACAAGAGTTCGACGACGAGCCGCGCTCTCGCGCCGAGCTCGAGACGCGCGTGGCGGATCTCGTACGCGAGAATGCAGTTCTGGAACGCGTGCGTTTCTCTATTCATTCATCCGTTGCAATGTAGCTAACAGGCGTTGCTGTGAGTTTAGCGCGCGAACCAGGCTATGATCAACGCCGAAGTGGCCGAGTCCGCGAATAAGGACCTTCAGGCCGAAGTGCAGGAGTTGCGCGGGACAGTTAGCAGGCTGAACACGGAACATGCGAGAGCTGTGGGGTGGGAGAGCAAGTTGAGGGCTGTTGCGCTTGAACGGGACGATATGCGCCAGGAGAGGGATGCGGAGGCTACCAGGGCCAGGGTCAATGAGAGCAGGCTAGTGTCACTGGGTGACAAGAATGGTACGTTGCCATATGTGTGGTGCGCGTATGCTTGTTCTGAAACTCATGCTGCCTTTCGCAGCCGAGCTTCGTGCCCAGATCCGCCAGTTGACGGACAGTGTCGATGCACAATATCAGCAACGGCAGGAATTGTCCGAAGTGATCTTGCATGATGCGAAGTCGCGGCTAGCAAAGATACAAGCTACGGTGTGTACCACCCGTGTCTGAGTGTGTACCTGCCACTCAAACGTTGCATAGGTCCGACAAACGTCCTCTATGGCGAACGATCAGGAGGTCACTAGAATACTGGAATCGCTCGTTGAAGACAACGAAGGCTTATTGCAGAGCAATGCCGAGTTGCAAAGCATGCTTGCCGATGCTCGTGAAGAACTCCATACGCTACACGAGGAAGCAGAGGAGTACCGTGCAGCAGCGAACTTCTCTCCGTACGGCGACGACACGATACATAGCCATACCAACCGGCCTGGATCGCGGATGCACCGTACACTTGCCACGTCTTCTCGCATGGCCTACGGCACTGCACCAGGCCCGATCTCACCATTATCTTCCGCTTTCTCTATACGCGGTCGGGGTCACAGATCCAAACGCTCGAACAGTATTGAGATTCCTCAACGGGAGTACGACTTGTCGACGCCACCGAGGGGGTTGCGATCATTGTCACCAGACTCGGCGGATGCGGGAGATACGACGATGAGATCGATGGGCGGCGCTGTGTCCGAGGACTACACCCTCGTCGGGGATGCTCTTGAGCAGAAAGGCAGCGGCCTTTCGCGGACATCACCCAAGAAGCGCAGGCCTTCGCCGCTTCGGAGACAACGTGGTGTACAGACGGACGACCTGCTCGGACCAGCACTATCCACCTTCCAGCCCTTCAGCGACATGTCTTCCTCCATATCGCCTCACGACGGCCTATCGGAGTCCTCGTCCGTAGTTGACTCCATGTCAACACTCAGTGCCCTCCTCGACCGTCTCCACCAACTCCTCGGGCGCATGACCCAAGCCGACGCCCTAACCCTCACAACCCGTCTCAAGCGCCAAAACATTGCTGGCGCGGATGTCAGCTACATCTCCCGCAGCACCGTCGAGTCCATCGTCTCCGAAGTAGCGGGTCTACGCCTTGCCCTCCGGGGTGCACTCGAAGACGACAAGTTCGCCACAACATGTACCCGCAAAGACCTACGCGCGCTCCTCAAACTCGCCCGCGACCTCTTCCGCGAACTCGGCACGCTCCGCGTGACACTTAACGATCTAGTCCTGGACCCCTCCCTAGCGCCCAAAGTCCGCGACATGGTGTTCAACCCCGAAAAGCCAGTAGACGCCGCATCAGGCGCGGGCGCCTCCTCCAGCTGGATCGCGCCCCTCACCAAACTTTTTGGCGGCTCCACCTCCGGCATAGGCTCAACGCCCAACACCGAACCCCCGCGCTTCCTCTCTCCACTCGGACCTGGCTCGCGCCCCTCGCCCCAATCGCGCCCTAGCGTGCCTAAAGCTGTAGCCGCGCCCAGCGCCAGCACTACAACGGTCAACGTGGAATTCACAGGCTCAGGCGCCGGACGAGCGATCACGGACTCCAATCCTAATACTGTCAAGAATAAGAGCCGGAACGCACCGAGTACGGCGGCTGTGGCTGCGCCGGCGCCGAGACAGGCCAGCTCGAATTTGATGGGCATTTTCGCTGGTGCGCCCAAACCGGCGGAGGCGGATCCGTGGGTCGTTGTCAAAGCTGCTACGAAGTTACGGCCGAAGACGCCCGGGAGTGCCAGTGGGGCGTCGCCCATGGCGCGTACGTCGAGTAATCGGTCGAACGAGTCTGGGGCCCCATCGAAGGCTCATGCCGTGTCAATGTCGAGGAATGTATCGGCCATGATCGATGCGCCCGCGACGCCTGCCGAGAGTTCAGGAAGCGGGTTCGATCCGAGGTTGTTGGAGCAGGCTAGGACTCTACGACCGAGAGGCCTGTCAGATTCATCCATCCGTACGACGTTCCTTCAACACGGCGAGGCGTCGGCTGCAACCCAAGAGCCCGTCGCGGCACCTGCACCTGTAGCTGCGCCGCCGAGCAGACAGACCATGTTCCAGACGCTCAGTCGACGAGTGTTTCGCTCGCCCGAGAACGAGGAGGATGCTAGCTCTACGGCATCTTCGGTACCGGGACACAGCAGACAACGGTCGGGGACGTTACCGCGCACGTTGGCGCCTAATCTTGCGAGGCTGTTGCCCGATCTTGCGTGGGGACCTGGTGGGGACGAGTTTGAGCCTACGCCTGTGGATGCTGAGGCGTATGTGGGGAGTTTCAGGCAGAGGGACCCGCTTGTCTGGGCGAGAGGTGGACGGACGAGGGATATGTGATGCGCTCACGGAGGATGGTTGGTTTGGATGTTGCTATATTCTTATCTTGCTTTCTTGTAGAATGTTTTGCTCTTTCATGTATTGGATACCCTCCCTTGTATAGTTTTCATCTGCACTTGCTTTGCACCTCTGACATCATCTTCATCTCGAGCACGTCAATGTATATGGTAAGTAATGGTAGAGTATGTGGTATAGACGCGAGCGGATCTCAAGCAGTGAGGACATCTACGCCCGTCTCTGTGATCAACACCATGTGCTCCTTCTGAGCCGACCGAGCACAGTTCTGCAGGGCACGGTGAGCAGAACGCACAAGGGTAAGAATGTATGATACGTACTAGTGTAGATTCTGTCCACCCATCCGGGAATGTCCATGTATCGGGTTTGGAGCCTTGAACGAACGCAGGCTCGATGGTGAAGCAATGTCCTGGCTGCATATAGCCTGGTTGGTCATTCCCTGTAGCATGTGCATGAGTATCGGCTACACTACGAGTGTCTGAGAGTCAAAGGAGACTGACGTTGGTGGATAATCCAAGGTTGACGATGGAACTCGGTCCCGATGCCATGCCCATCAAACCGCGCTATGGAGTAGCCGCGCTTGTCCGCAAGAGCCTGTATGGCGGCTCCGATAGCCCTGAACGGCTTCCCTGGTGCACACGCCGCAATACCAGCGTCTAGTGCATCAGATGTGTCCTGAACCAAGGCTCTGCCGGGTTCATCGACATCGCCTACGAGAAATGTTCGCGATGTGTCTCCGTGGTAGCCATCCAGGTAGACTGTGATGTCGATATTGATGATGTCGCCGTCCTCGAGTACACGCCTTGAATGATACAGTTAGTGCAGGTTGAGTTTACACGGAGGAGCCGGACGTACTCGTCGGGAATGCCGTGGCACACGACGTTGTTCACGCTTGTGCAGCAGGACGCAGGGAAGCCCTTGTATCCTAGCGGAGAGGGATATGCGCCATGAGATAGGATATACTCATGTACTCGGGCGTCAATAGATTCCGTACTTATCCCTGGCTTCGCTCGTCAGAGGCTATGGCAAGGATGCGAAAGTGGGCGTGGGCTCACGCGCACAAGGGTACCAGCGAAAGTCAGGACGTCCTTCGCTAGACTAGCTGACTTCCGTAGTCTGACTTCCTCTTCCGACCCCAGAGTAATCCGAGCATCTCCAAGTGCGAGTCCGCTTCCAAACTTGGGTAAGCAACTCGATGTGGCGATATATGGTGGTCGAGCTATGTGCGGGGGTACAGGTCGAAGCAGTTGCACCTTTCTGGGCGGGTCGGTAGACTCTGGCGGCAGAATGACAGAGTATATTCCAAAGCCGTCGATCTCGGCTAGTTCTTCATCTGTGAAGTCGTGCTCGTCGGGGTCGAGAGCGGAGGATTGCTGGCTCTGAGCGGGAGAGAAGGCGTAGGATCGACGACAATCGCCGACTGCAGTCGTAGGTAAGCGCTGAGAGAGCGGCCGCAGTGAACGCGATGTAGTCCGAGCCAAGGGTCTGATTGTGTGGGCTCTTGCTAGCCTGTTCAGCATCACTACCAGCCTGAGCGGCGCAAATATAGGAAGTAGCAGCAGTCGTGGTACAGGTTCAACGCTTCCGACGGCACGTAGCGCGTGGCGGTCCTAAATCCGAGCCCGTCGGCTTTTGCCTCCGCCTCCCATGATGCCAGTGCCTCCAACGATTACTATGCTTACTATGCAAAGATGCATCCTATACCGTTCGCGGTAGAGTTCCCGTATAGCGTATTCTCAGGCTCATGGAGTCTCTTGACCGATTGAGGGCCTGAAGCTGACACAGTCATGGGTAAGCGACGAGGCTAGTTCTTGTGGGCCACCCCTCATTCAGGAGGACGATTCGCCATGCAAGCTCTTCACATCATGTCAAGGTATGGCGTCAGCAAGGAGCCAACTTAGATATAAAGGCGCCTCTCTGAGCTCAGCAACGTAAAGTCTCCTTGGCCCCTCTGAGCATATAGCATATCATGTCCCGACAGATCACCTTCTACACCTCCAGGGTGCGTGCTTCATCAATCATTGGCTATGTGTCAAGCACGCTCAACGAGCCGTCTCTCCTCTAGATCTGCCCTTGGGCTCAGCGAGTGCGTTATCACCTCAACGCGGAAGGGGTGTGAACACTCATCGCAATCTTGCGTGTAGGTGGCGATCGCATTCGCGGAAGCCGGCGTGGAGCCCAAAGAATACCGCGTAGACCTTGCGAACAAGCCCAGCTGGTATCACGAGGTCAACCCGGCGCTCAAGGTACTTCTCTTTTATACTCTGATCCACCCATGTAGTCAGCGCTATGACCCTACACTGCTGGCTGTCGTGATAGCGAGCAACTTGTGCTGACGAATGAGTAGGTACCGGCGGTTACCTATGGTGGACCGGACGTCCCTGCCGACAAGCCCTCTCCTGAGAGCGTCAAGATCGCAGAGTCTGGTGTTCTGATCGAGTTCCTCGCCGACCTCTACCCCGGTCTCTTACCTACCGATCCAGTCGAGCGTGCCAAAGCGCGCTTCTTCATCGAGACCGCCAGCAGCAAGTTCCACCCCGGCTTCGGGGCGCTCTTCATGCGCGGAGAGGGTCCCGATGCATTGTTCGCCGGCCTTGAAGCCGTCCAGTCTTTGCTTCCCGAGGAGGGCTTTGCGATCGGGCAATGGTCTATCGCGGACGCAGCCATCCAGCCGTTCCTCGGTCGCCTCGAGCTCCTTCTGCGCAACGACGTGGGCAAGTTCGCTGAGGGAGAGGGACCCAAGATCTACAAGGAGATCTTCGAGAATGAGAAGTTCGCGCGGGTGGCCAAGTATATCAAGGAGTTCCTGGCTCGCGACTCATGGAAGGTTACTTGGGACGAGGTGCGCACCACTACATTCAAATGGGATTGCACAAGGGCCCCAACATTGACTACATACCATTCAGGAATCCGTTCTGGAGCTTCAGCGCCGTCGCTTTGGCCGTTCTTAAACCTGGCACTTCCGGTGAATGTAGGATAGGCTGTATTGAAACGGAACCAGATGTATTCTATGTGTGTGCTCCTTCCTCGAGCGAGTACGAATGTAAAGTTCTATTGGATGAAGGGTATCGTGCATGTAGTGTGTGATGTCTACTCGGGAATAATGATATGTAAATGGCCAGGACGCATTTCCAAATCCGAAGAACATCCCCGGGCATCTCGGTCACGGCTTTTGGCAGAGCATACTGTCTGCAGTACAGCTCGCCTGAAGGCGCCATGCTTACGCGCCTTTCACTGTACAGACGATACGAGTAGAAACCAGCTGGCTTGCCGCCTCTAAAGGGGTATAGATGGGCTCGCTTCTGCTCGACGTTGTATCAGTCAGGCTGTTTCCGGCCCAAGTTCTTTGTTAAGACCACACACCTATTCCGAAAATCTCACAGCGATGATCATACTCGGCACATTGCGCTTGTGACCTCCTGTACCAATGCCTCGAGTTTGTGGTCAAGCACGACGGCAGCGTCCCGCAGTTCGCCTTCGCCGTCGGTAGCGATCATAGATGAAGGTAGATCATACACGACGACTGTGCCCCGATTGCTGTCCGCGTACCGCCCCATGACCATTAACCGAAGAGGGACGTACAAGCCGGATGCTGGTCTGTGTTTCAACATGGACTGGGCGAGGATTGGGTTGCCGATGGTGTATACATGCATCTCGGGTACGTCGTCCGATCCGAGGTACATCTTGAGCCAGTTGCTGTGGTTGAACTCGAAGAAGAACCTGCACACAAGTGAGCAACATAACTGTGTGCGCATGCCTGGAGCGTACCCGAAGTCGTCCCCCGCTACTTCTCTCACCCGCAGCTCGAGCTCTTTGGGTGTTCGGGCGGACCGGATGGAGCGCACGATGTTCTTCTCCGAGTCGCGGTTGACCGCAGCATCTAGCCGTTTCAAGACCTCATAGACAGGGAGGTCCGTAGTATAGCTCACGCGCTGAGCGGCGAAAGTCTCGATGCTCTTGGACATCAGGGTAAGGGTTGATCGCGGGGAGTGGGAGCACGAGGGTCGCCGGTTGTGAATGTATGAGCTTGTACGACACCATACCGCCATTTATACGATCCACAAACGTATGTACCCGCGCTCAGGCATGCTCGGGGCGGCAATGGATCGCATCACGAATGCGTGGGACTCTCGAACAGATGCGGGCGAACAGCACACCGCCATCACCCGCCCAGCCTATACCACTCGGCGGAAGCAAATGGGGTACGGACAAGGTACGGAGCCTGCGTGTGGACACTCGGGCTCAGACTTGCAAGGAATCCACAATGTTTGAATGAGGCAAAGAACAAACATGCCGTAAATATGGAGAATATTGGGGCCGCGGGCACAACCCATCTACCACATCACGCTGGAACAACCGACGGCATAGTCGTAGAACCTCATGCAGTGAGCAGCGTCCGAGTCACTCGTCGCTTCATACATGCCACATAGCTGTTGCCCTGCGTAGTCTGACGCGTGTTGACGATCGTGAAACCGGAGGGCCGTGTGGACAGCGCGGATCGCAGCGCATCAATGTCCTAGAGAGTGTATCATAATGAGCGTGGGTCCCGACCGCGCGCCGCGCATTGCTGCGAGCGAACACTCGGTGTTACAACGCACCGATTCAGACGGTCCCGATATCTTCCTTCGGACGCGAGGTGGCGGAGGCGGCGCACACTCGATGTACTCTAACAGCGGGCATGCCTTGGCTACCGCCGATATGAAGGCTGCGCCAAGGTAAACATGTGCCGCTGATAGAGACACGAGCGTTGGATGCTGCTGGGCTACTGCAGCGAGACAGGCACCTCCCCTGCAGCCGTGGCGTTTATCATCGTCGGAGACGACGTTCAAGTGCTGCAAAGGGGATCTAGCCGCGAGCCGCGAGATCCATGCGACGAGTTCATGATAGGCATCGACACCTGTATTGGCATTGAGCTGATTCAACTGCACTGTGTCACGTCTGCTCTACGTACCGGCGACGCCTTGATGTCGTACTGTGAGGCTCGTGAGTTGGGAAAGCCCAGTCTGGCTCGAAGAAATGTTCTGGTCGCGAAACAGGTTGTTAGCGACGTGATGACAAGTTCCCGGGTAGACTTCGTACAAGATCGCGACCAAGCAAGAAGTAGTCGTATACAACGTCAAGTTCGGTGAGATTGGCGCCCGCGGAGACGAAACTCAATAGGGCCGGTGCCGGTAACGTATGCGAAAAGCCTATTTGCAGGGCCTTCAACCGCGACAGTGCACCATTCATTACAAGATCTTGAGACAGCGGGATATCTAGCCCTGATGTGGACTAAACGTTAGGGCGCGGAAACTAGTCAGTCAAAAGGTTACTATATGGAGTATAGGACTCCCATTACCTTGAGGCGTAAGCTGGTGAGATGGTCAAACGAGCGTAGGACCACATCGAGATTCTGAATGGCCTCAGTCGACGCGTCTCCCAAGGTGAGAGAGCGTAGTCGAAGAGTGGTGTCTGAAGGCAGTTCGCTCAATATAGGCATGTGTCGAGCAGTAACTGCAAAGTCCCAGTGGAGATGTGATAGATTATGACATAGACGTAGGTTGTCGGTGATATTCCGAAGAACCTCCGCAGAGACGACGTTCTCAACAGACGAATAGACCGTGCATGTGGTTAGGTTGAATAGCGTAGACAGCACATGTATAGGAGCTCCCGTGTCCTGAACGGTGTAGGTCGCATTGTGTAGTCGGTTGTATACTGTGCAGAAGGTTTGAGTCTCACATATAGAAATCCCGCGGAAGTACCAGCACTCGCTCACCATGGAAGCGTATCTCCCTGACATACACAGACAAATGTGGACGAGTGTTCAGCGTGGCAAGGACGCTGTTCGGATGTATCTAGGTACCAGTCAGTCATGGTGTAAGACGAATGGCTATGAGCGCACCATTGAAACGCCTGTCCTTCCGTCCAAATCAACATATTTCACTCTGATGCTCCGGTACAAGACGGGTATCGCTGCTTGGAACATCAAGTTGTTCACCCGCGCGCAGTGCGCCAGATCCTTCGGCTCTTCGACGTTCCCCAGGATTTCAAGCCAGACATCAAACGGAACCCGCGCGACTGCGGCCATGGCGTCGTCTAAGAGTGCCCGTCGTGGTCAAGAGTCGAGGTGGATGAGAGTGGTAAGCAATATGGCGAGCCACGGCAACACCGGTCACTGTAACAGCAACCAGACGCGGTCACCTGATTATTCTACATCGCGTCGCGTGCATTGAAAGCGTGTCTAGTGTACAGAAATCCAGAGATAAAATGTTAAACTCGTATAAAGCTAGTCATCGATCTCCATCTCATCATGGCGTCGTGCTCCTCTACCACCTCTCTCCATGGCTTCGCTCACACTGAGGTTACCATTATAACCGTTGACGATCGCCACCCTTTGCTTCGGATTCCACGTTAACCCGCTATCGAAGTAGCGTCGTTTAGGACGAGCGCCGTTGACCGCTTCGTGAGGATCATAAAGGTCCATGTGTGGCAGTTCTTCCCACTCGTTGCTGAGAATACTCATGCGTTTATTCTTGCGGCTGTTCCGTGTTCTGCGGCTCCGTCTTCGTGAGGCCGCCGAACCGGAGTCTGACTCTTCTTCTTCGCTTCCTCGATCGGAGGGTTCGGGTTCTTGAGTCTCGTAGACGAATCGCGAGTACTCTGACGTAGTCTGTCAGAAGCAGGCTAGTAGAGATGAGAGACGAGATTACTCACGCGCCAGCTTCCTGTCCAGGTCGTCGATCTCGGTCGTTTCGCTACGCGTCAGCCCTAGGTGATCGCCAATGCTCTCCCTCGGGACGTCTTGCAGACCAACTGAGGGTGCAGTCTTCAATTCGCTGAGATTCTGCAAGACCTGCTGTCTAGGTATGATGAGTGTCATGTATGGAGTACGAAGCAATGCCGCTCACAGTATTTGCTTGTGAGCACCATCTTTAGGGTTCAGATCTTCCAAGTTCGTTTCAGCAACCTCTAATCTGTACCTCGGTGCGAACCACTCGAAGAACTCATTGTACGGTAACCGAAGGTCCAAATCCTGCTCGACGCCAAGGGCACATGCCGTCTCGTACGTCCATGCGCGGGCAGCATTCTTTACTGTATATCCACCTCCGCCCAGAAGCATCAACGGGACGTTGAATTTGCGCATATGTTGTACACAATGCGCATGTCCCTGCATCGTGAGGTTGAAGCAACCGAGTCTGTCTCCGGCCAGCGAGTCGGAGCCGCATTGCAAAACGACCGCCGACGGTTGGAATACCTCCATGATTTTGTCCATGATCTGTTGCATATTTAGTCACGCGATCTCCACTCATAACATGCCACGCACAGGATCAAACATTTCGTGGAATGTCCCGTTGGAAAGCCCGTCCCTAAACGGAACGTTGACCGCATAGCCGAAGCCGTCTCGTACACCTCGATCCTTAAGTTGGCCGGTCCCGGGAAAGTAGGAGCCATACTTGTGAAAGCTGCATGTCATGACGCGGTTGGAGCTGTAGAAGGCTTCCTCAACACCATCGCCATGGTGGCAGTCAATGTCGATGTAGAGGACTCGTGGGAAGACGCGTAGAAGTTCCAGTATCCCGAGCACGATGTCGTTGACGTAGCAGAAGCCGCTGGCTTCGGCCTTCTTCGCGTGATGTAATCCCCCAGCCCAATTGATAGCGATTTCAGCAGCACCAGAAGACAGCGTTTTCGCAGCAGCTACAAGTCCAAGCTCAGGAAAACTCCTGGAATAGTCTGGGGGTACGCACCTACGGATCCCCCGGCAGACAATGAGCAAAACTCGAACACGCCCTCGAACGCCGGATTGTCCCAATTTTGTGACATGCCGACTGCATTCTCGTTCAGTAGTCACGTCGGTGCAAGAAGGTGTGCCACACACATCGATTGCCATTAAAAGTGAGGTCCTCCACGGTCTCCGGCGTGACCTTGCTCAAAAACTCGATGTACTCGTCTGTGTGAAAAGCACACATTGCTTCCGCCGATGACCTTTCCGCCCTCTAGCAAGCCGTGGCATCAGTGAAAACAGCCTCACGAACCCCAAATAATCACGCACCTGGACATCCATCATCGTCAAAAGGTCGTATGCGTTGCATAGCTCGTGCGTGATTCGCATCCGCAAAGGCTTCATCAGGTGCGACGGGCCATAAGAATAAGAGCCAACATCCGCTATAAGTGCGTATATAAGCAACATCTCCGCGTCCAAGGCTAAGTCCCACGTACGGTCATGAAAGTAGGCGACGTTCCTCTTGGATGATCTGGCCATGGTGATCGGCGTCTGTGGTGGAGGATAGGGGTGAGTTCATCAACGCGTCGCGCACGCGTTGAACCTCTGACGCGCTTCCGGCCCGCAGTCCCGGTGCGCGTCCGCCGCGACGCGCTCCCTTGCGCTTCCTGGTTGCCTTTCACCTTGACGACCTCTACACCCACACTGCTTGGCACTGAGCCGCGAGATCATGCAGGTCCGTCAATATCACTTAGTTAAGGTCACCTTTGTCTGTGACTGAGGCTCACTATGCGTCACAGACTCAGGCACCGGAAGGCAATATCAGGGTTAGCGGAGCGACTGACGTTTGAGTTGCTATTCCCTATGATGCTGACCCATCTCCCCATGAACAGGACCTCCTGGAAGGCCTATTCTCTGTCAATCATGGAAAATTTGGCAGCATACACGCCTTGGCGACGGTGCCCGATACTTTCCCGATGAATCCCTGCATCGAACTCCAATTACAAGATGGATGGGACGCTCTTGGACTGCCCGTCTCGTCTGCCGTTATCAAGTTATTGAATGGATCTCTCAATGAGGGCCACGACGGCAGTATCTCTACTGTGGATGTTGACGCCTCGCGACTACAATTCTTGAATCCAGGATGGAACGCAGTCGTGGACCAGACGGCAAAGTCGATGTTTGCTGGTCTCCATCTAGCTGGATCAGTCCCAGGTTCGATTACGGCGAGACTCGAAGGACTGCACATCTACCCTGCGAGCTCTCACCTGTGAGTCATATCCTGTCATCTACTTTATCTTGCTAACCTACGACATATAGTCAATATAGTACCGGGTACGCATTGTCAAACGCGTCAGCCGCTCAAGCGGCATCTATGCTGAATTATGTCACAAAGCGTCAAAGACGACCGTGTGCTTGCGACTCTTGTCTTCATTCTCCCCACAAAACACGAAGGTGGAGCCATAACTGCCCGGCTTGGGCATGACCTGATGACTATGCCGACGAGCTCTCCAAGTGCCTATGCCGCCACGACACTGTGTTGGCTGTCGGGTAAGATTTCAAGCACTCATGCCCGTGGGTCCGGATCTAATATAAACATCCGCAGGCTCAACTGTTGAGCATGAGCCAGTCACAATGGGCGCTCAAGTCATGTTACGCTACGATATACTCCACGCTGGCCAAGGCCCTGCACCCGTTCTTTTTGATCCAACACCGGTAGCGGCTGAGATCTCCAAGGTCTTCAGTGCTTGGCTTCAGAATAGGGATGGCAAAAACTGCCCACAGACGCTCTATTACGTCATATCCAACAATGATATATACGGGGAGAAACTCATTCGATATACCACATTCACAGACCTCCAAGGCCCCGACTTCGCGTTTGTCAATCTCATTCGTGAGTTGGCACAGCCGTTTGGAATCACTGTGACGTTGGGTCAACTGAAGCAAACCCAATTTGGGGAGGCGTGGAGCCCGCATCAAGTCAGAAAAGACTATTACGGTTCTGACGACGAGGGTGATGTGGAGCGATACGAAGAGACAGCCGAACTGAACGACGTTGACGAATTGTTGTGGCACTTCACCCCCTTTTTATCCGACGGCAAGCGAGGGAAGGAGGAGGATATCTACGACGCAGAGTTTGAACTGCTGTGCGACTACGAATATCTCAAAGGAGCGGCTCCAGATGAGGTGGATTGGGAAGGCTGGCAGGGCGAGGTGCCGTTTTTGACTGTGCTAGATCTTGCGCGACGCTAACAACCCATCTTCTTAGGGGAATACGCATATGACTTACGGTACAGTACTCTTGGACCGTGTCACGCACTCTATGCTGATTGAACGACAGAGTTCTATCGACTTGGTCTACGCCTCGAGCTTCCATCTTTAGAAGACCCGGATAAGAGTTCGAAGCGGAAGGAACCTCCCTTTGATCCAGAGATCCAGATCACGGAGCTGGAACGTCAGATGAGAGCCTTCGACGAGGCAGCTACCCGAGGTGTAATACGATAGGCCACCGTGTAAACCCACGTGATCGCGTCGCCACCGCTGTATCTTATCTCGCGGCGGATGTAGCGAGTCACCCGCGGACCACCATGTCATCTTCAGTAGAGCTATCCATTCGCCCCGCACAATTCGCAGACCTAGACGCAATCTGCACCATATACAACCACTACGTACTTTACTCTCTGGCAACCTTTGCTGAGACGCCGCTGTCTTTGGAGACGTTCCACTCGAAGTATCAATCGTTGCACACTTCAAATCTACCCTTCCTCGTCGCCACGCGAAAGATCGAAGGCTCAGAGACGATTCTCGGCTTCACATATGCAGCGCCATACGCAGAACGTAGCGGATACCGGTACACCTTGGAGACAACGATCTATCTGGCGCCAGGCAACTCTCGCCAAGGGATTGGCAGTGCACTCCTGCGGGCCCTCATACAAGCTTGCGAGCAGAACGGTCCTTGGAGGACGCTTGTCGCTATCATCGGCGATACGCCTGGGCCAGCCGGAGACGAACAGAACAGTTCCAACCGAGCGTCGATCGCCTTGCACGAGAGGCATGGATTCGTGCAGTCTGGGAGGTTGAAGAACTTGGGATGGAAACTGGACCAATGGGTTGATTGTGTCTACATGCAACGTTTCTTAGTGCCAGCAAAACGAGAAATCGGGGACCCGCTGGAGAGGGCCGGGCGGCTAGGGCTAGCAGACCGAAGGCGCGATGCTTGCCTCGGTGGTGGTAGGATGAGAGCTACTCTACTACATGCGACGTGCTAACCGAGCCGAACCGCTGACTAAGCCGGTGAATGCCGTGCTCCTCCTGCCTCCTCGCCTCCTGCCTCGCACTCCCAGGCACCCCTACTCCATGTACCCCCCACCCAAAATGGCGACGTCCTCGTCGCCCTAAGAGAACCGAAGAATGAAAGAAAACACCGTCAAGAGCTGCGAACCCAACCCAACGATGTGAGCACACGACCAAGCTCTGCCAGCCGAGGATCTCCCTCCCAATCAAGAGTCGACTCCGATGTCAACAGCGAGCGACCAGGTAACGAGCGATTTGTGCGGGGGAAATGATATGTATGATGACCACAATCTGAATGTATAAATGGGAGCCGATTTGTAGTGGAACGCCAGGAACCGATGTCCGCGCGACTAGGACGTGAAGCTTGTCCTCGAATAGTAGCCGATCCGTGACGAGCGCGACGGCTGCGTTGCTGTAGTGAGCCAAATGGCTTCGAGTTGTGAGCCGGGCGAAGTGCCGAAAGATCGCGCGATTGTGATACGACTGGAATGGCCGGGGCGGGCTGGGTACTAAGAACTCTATCAACATCGTCGGCCCAATTGAGCGGTCTTGTGTCCGTGGTGGGTTGCTGTG